CCCTCGGTTACATCCATAACTCTTTTCCATAAGAATCGCCAGGCAACTCTCACGGCGCTAACCCAATCCTACTCGCCCTAACCCGGATCGAGCCAGAGAAGTATTAGCACTCCAAACCCCGTGTAACAAGAGGTATTATAATAAGCTAAACGCTCTTTAGTTAAGATCCTTAATAGAATCTTAGTTAACTTAAGGTACCTAATAAGGCCACGCCTTATTAGTCTAATAGTTACTTAGGTAACTACTTATAGATAGATAGCCACGTAGCTTAGAAGCTTAGCTCTCTATCGAATACAACCTCTTATATACCAAGCGATTGCTCCCTAGAGCGCAGCCCCTTACAATTATAGCTTAATTGCGCAGATAGTCGCGTTAGTTTGCGTAGGGCGTTCAGCTTACTGATCTTTCCAGCTTACTGATCCCGCACGTTACTAAAAAAAAACCTATTTAATAGCTATGTTAGTAGTATCTAGAGCTGAACAGGTAGGTAGAGCCGAGATTACCAATCGGAGACAAGTAGTAGCCGAGATTACCAATCGAAGAGAAGTAGTAGTCGTCTCTACCCTGATAGTAAGATTAGTGACAATCTATTGCTGACCTTACATCTCGCGCGACATGGGTCCTTTCATAACAAGTATGTATTGCCGACCTTGCTGTCAAAACTTAACTTAAGTAACAGTTCAGTCCTGATTGCCTCTTGAGCCTGAACGCGCAGTACCCCGCACAAGGATGTCGCTCCGCACCACTCCGGAGACCCGCTTTGATAGCTTGAACGTCTACACCACTTCATACAAGAAGATTGGCGACCATGAAATCGAAGTCAATGTCCTTGCTCCCAAAGGCATCTCGCCCGGGAAGCATCCGTTGATGGTCAAATGGCACGGCGGAGGTCTAGTAAGTAGCCTGACGAGGTTATAGTCTTACCATCTACTTACCGTGTGTCCTCAGACCACAGGAACAGCACTGTACACCCCATGGTTTTCTGCTTTTATGGTCCCACTAATCATACGCAACAAGGCGATCGCCATTGTTCCAAACTACCGGCTGACTCCAGAGCACACTGGCGACGAAATTCTCGAAGACATTGCTTCCCTGGGAGGCTGGCTTACATCTTCGTTGCCCGCATACCTTGCATCCAAAGACTCTTCAATCGAGCCCGACCTTTCCAGGATCCTAGTAACCGGCGATTCTGCCGGCGGCTGGATGGCGCTTCAGTCGGTCCTTTCTCTACCAGAAAAGACATTCCGTGCTTGTTTCATCCAGTATCCCATGGTAAACGCCATTCCTTACTCTCCAGACGATACCATCTTGGGTGGCCCTTTCCCACCAAAGAAGGACCTGGACGATTTCCTTGCAACTATGAAACCGGGTGACATTGTCAGTGCAGCTATCCCGCCTGCTCGCAGCCAAATCATGCCCCTGCTACTTGCATACGGGCGCTGGGATGAATTCTTTGGCACTGGGCTGCATCTCATGCCAGATACGCGCATCGATACTGCAAAGTCTTTCGTTCCAACATACATTGTGCATGGTAAGGACGATACTATTGTGCCTATCATATGGACGGAGAAGTTTGTAGATAGAGCGAGGAGATTGTTCCCGGACACGAGATTTGACTTCGTTACGCGGCCCGGTGAACATGGTTTCGATGATTCAATCTATAAAGAGGATGAGCCGTGGCTTGCGGAGATGATCAAGAACATTGAGAAGGACTGGCTAGAATGATTTGTAGCTATATTTTACACTATATGATGTGTAGAGGGAGCGATAGCTACTACTGCAATCAATAAGGAAGGTAATACTACCACTTCGACGTAAGCCGCTTAGTGTCGACGGTATAGGCGAGGGAAGATAAGAATTACGGAAATGGAATCTGTTATTTTCTTCTACATCAAGTACTATTTCCGCCAGCCTTGAACAAAATCATGGGCCCAATCGATGACTCCGGCCTTCCAATCACCCAATGACTCTTCGATCAACCTTTCCCATCTCATCGCAGCCTCATCCTCCCCCTGGATTCCATCCGTACCTCTCTCAAGACCCAAGCGCTCTTGGACTTTCTTCACACTACCTTCTCTCTCAACCTTGATATCGGGGATGTTGGCTCCTTGCATAAGAGCAAAGAGGTTAAGAATCAGGTTCGAAGATTTGCGCAAAGTGGACCACGCCGTATACGAGTATTGCTTGAACGCGGAGTAGTTGGGATGCTGAACTCCGCCCATGCCTTCAATCATTTCGTGAGAGAGCTTCATGGCTGGGGCAAATGGCTTGGGGTCGCGACCGAGAATGTACCCAAAGTCGACATGGAAAAAGGCACCCGAAGGAGCGAGCAGCAGATTGTCTAGATGGCGATCACCAACCCCGAGAATATAGGTAATCACGCAGTACCCGGCGCAGGATTTGATGTACGTGTCCATTGCTTCTTTTCTTACGCCTAACGGAGCGTTGTCATCGGGATTGTTGGCGCGCAGGTAGGCGAGGAGACTGCCTCTGTACTTTTGCCATGCCGCAGCGATCGACATGCTCGGTACAAACTGGAATGCTCCGGCTGATGACGAAGTTGCAAGGATGCGATAAGGAGTAAGTTTCAAGTCGAGATTTTCCTTGCGGAGCAATCGATCCATGAGAGTGATGATTTGGATGACGAGTTGATCTTGGCGGAGGTCGTCACCGGTTTTAAAGATGATGGGGTAGGGTGTCCCGGTGGTAGTCTTGAATGATAGCACCATGGGAAGTAATGACGACTTCAGGACATTGCAATCCTCGGTAGATATACCGGTAATGAGTATCGACGGATCGAGAGGTAGAGGTAAAGGGTCAAAACTTGTAAGCTCGTTTTTGGGGTCTGCGATAGCTTTCTTGAGACGCGCAATCTTCGAAGGCCGGTCACCACCGCCAAAGCGCACGTCTTTTGATATTTTAGCCAGGATGGTGAGTAGCTCACCTTGGCGTTGGAAGGTTTTGCGTATACTGATGCCTTCTGGCGTTTTTTCCAGCTCAACCATAAAGTCATACTCGACTTTTGCGAATAGATCACGATGCTCGGGGGCTTGATCAGCACTAAGGTCGCTAATCTCAACCATGAGATACCAATGTAAGAAATTGCCCAAAGTGAAACTGTTAGCAGCACGAGTGACGAGGAAACGTGCAAGTGACGAATCATCTGCCTCGCCTGGTGCCTCGTACTTGAGCGCTTGTACCAACTGTAAGAGATACAACTGGAGTTCTTCATCATCGGCTTTCTTCAAACGCTCGACGGCATAGCTTCGAACAATGGGGTGGTCGAAGTGAGGTCCGAGTAATTCAAGAGCGTCGTCAACATCAATCTCGGCCCACTTTTCGAGCAGTGGTGCTGCTTGCCGAACTTCTCTTGGATTTTTCCAATTGATGCACTTGACAAATTTTGTTAAGGCACGCTTGTCGCGGAGTAAGAAATACCTGAATCTCCAGATATCATCTCGCTCATGCGACGTGATCTCATCAAGGGGGCCCTTGGACAAGACCATGTTCAATTTATCACGGGCATGCACGTTTGGTTTTCGATCGCGGTCCAACGAATCGGTCTGCTGGCTACGCATCAACTCGCGGTGTTTGTCTTCGGCGGGATTGACTCTTCGCCCAACCTCGGGATCATAAATCTTGATGAGCCGTTCTGCGTCCGCGTCGCCGTACCCTACCCCATCAATGTCTATCCCAGGCCCAAAAGCGACTTCTGGCGGCGGGCGTAGCCTTACATCGGCTTCGGCTGGCAATCGAAGGTCGGAGACAGGAGGTGGCGGGTATTCAACGTCGGTGAAGACAATGGCGTGGTCGAAGCGGGGAAATTCGATATCGAGATAGAAGAGTTCTTGTTCTTCGGCTTGTGCAGCGATGTCACTGGTACCATTTACCTTGCTTTGTCGGCTGAGAGCTGCGGCCTCGGCTGTCAGGGCGTCCTTTCGTATTTGCATCATCTTCTTATAGACCAACCCGTCAAGCCAGTTGTTTGTCGGAAGATCTCCCATTTCCTGTTTCTTGAGCAGCCCTTCCAAACGGTCCATCTCGGCAACTTGCTCATTGACTGTGTCCTCGACTACCTCGGCATTCCTGGGTTTCCGCGCGGGTTGTATGACCCAAGGTGTTGAGGTGTTGGTCAGGCCATCGGCTGCCTTGTAGCGGTGTATACGGCAGCGTTGCCTGCCCTTATGTAGCGTGTTGTCGCTGTCGAACAGCGGTATCGTTGTGCCACCGAAAGGAACGGCGTGGAGGTTAGACTGTTTGTCTTCGGCAGGCGACAGATCCCATAGGGTGATGGCTAGCTGGGCAGATGCGGGAAGATTTGCGTACGTAACGGGCAGTTGTAGCCACTCATTCCAGATGCGCGCATTCTTGAATGACTTGTAGGCGGTCTGGACGGGGACAGTAAGGGGCTTGCTGTCGGCCCACACCTGTGCCGTGACGTATAGCTCGAAATGCGGGCTATAGGCCTACTGTTAACCGTATGTCCCTATCGGAGCACCGGGTGAGGGCCGACTCACTTGACTATGGAAGCGCGATGCCTAAGGTCGGGTCGCTTCAACAGCACCGAGTAAGGAACCGGCTGCTGGTTTCCATCCAGACGATCCCTGCATACACCTTCAGCACGCAGGAAACAGGCACTGCGATACGGTCGGACTCCTACATTCGCACATGGACAGATAGCTCGGTCAAGTCAAGAGACGTCGCGAAGTTGAAGGCCTCCATCGTGGGCGGTGGCGAAGCTGCTTGCTACAGCATGCCATGGAGAGGAAGCACGGGCTGGATGCAGGCGGAGAAGGATGGAGCGTGTGGGTTGTATCAGGGACACATGACAAGGCGAGAAGGTGTGAAGGGTGTGAGTGATGCGAACAGTAGTAGTTCATGCGCAGATGGCCGTGTCGTAGTGTCCCAGCGGGGTGGGGGGAACAGGCATGCGTGTGGCTGGTGGTGGGCTTGGTGTGGCTTGAGCACTACCAGCCCGCAGCTACGGGTGGCGGGGCTGCTGCAGTGGCTGTGCGCGCAGGCTTGGCTGACGAATGCGGATGCGCTTAGGTCAGACAAAAGTCACGCTAGGCGTGTGGGCCATAACCGCGTCAGGAAGCACAGGCACAGGCACAGGCACAGGCACAGGCGCAGGCGCAAGAGCAGCATAGGGCTGATAATCACCGTCTCCGCCTCAACACCACACCCATACCCCGCGGTTCTCTTGTCGCTCCCTCGCTGTCTCCAGATTGTGCTGCCCTCCTTCCTGCTTCGTCCGCTGGAGCCCGCTGCAATGGCGCGCCTCAATACCCATCTTTCTGCTACGCCACAAACACGCGCCTCCACTGTCGACTCTCTCTACCGCGACCCCTCCGTAGTGCCCCGAGCAGAACAGAATGGATGCACATCCTCTTACTCAGTCATCAGTCCGACCCGGTCCATAAACTCAGACAAGGAGAACGAATCGCCTGCAACTCGCGATAATACCCCGCGGCGAGGCAAATCAAGGGGCCTGAGGGTCGCGTCAGCGCGTATGCCTACGCCAGACTCAGGCTCGACAGAGGGCAATGGGAGCAAGAGAAGGCGCACAGACAACTACACCATGTCCCGTTCACAAATATATGATGACGAGCAGGATGCGGACCAGGATGACGAAGAGGACGGCATCGACACGCCTTCACAGTCCCATGTTCAGCCTGAGCAGGAGGAAGAGGGCCATCTCAGGTTCTACAACCCTAACCAGGATCCCGAGAAGCGAAGGCGACTGCGTGCGACAATGCGCGACCATCAGCGCATGCTGGATGGTGAGTTCAGCACCGCCTTATCAGCCATATAAACTTGACTGACTAAGACAGACAATCGCGATGATCTCATCAAGGCCCATGATAGTGGCCTCCTCGATGCTCTCAGAACTCAAAATAGTCTCTTTGGCAAAGTGCGCCAAACAGCTGACGCTACCGTCGACTCCCGTTTCTTGGTCAATGCAAGCGACTTAGCAGGCAAGAAACTCAACAATGCCCTGGGCAATTACAGTGCAGGCATCGATCTAGACCAGTTCGTCTCCAAATGTATGTACTTCATGAAATCAGGGGGCTACGTGGCGGGAGATGAGGACGCGCCGACCATGCCAGTGGGTGATGACGAAGATGATGACCCAGACGGTCTTGATTGGGCAATGTTAGGCCGAAGGGCATGTTTTCCCTGCAACAAGCGGCCACCTACTGCCAGTTTTCTTCTTGGCCCATTGTCAGTACAAAAGCGCATTCGATCAGCAACACAGCGGAGAGCTCGGTCCCAACGACAACCAGTCGGTCCTGCAACCCGGCCTCAGGAGATCAAAGAAGGCGATATCCAGCAGAACGAAAACAACAATCTTTCCAATCTTGTCAAGGGCATCCGAAAACGATTAATCGACCATACCAAGCAAGGCGCAGACCGTGTAGAAAGCGAGCTCAGCGAGATACCGGAGAGCGAGATGGACGATGAGTCGCAAAACGCTGCTTTCCGCCGATACAGAATGGCCATGACCACAGATGGAGAGCCTGCTGTGAATTTACTTGATTTCGTCATCAATCCGCATAACTTTGGCCAGACGGTCGAAAATTTATTTTATATCAGTTTCTTGGTGAGAGAAGGCAATGCCAAGATCGTCAAGGATGACAATGGCCTTCCATTACTGGGTAAGAGCAATTGCGCTTGTATTCCCTTCGTATACTTACCCGTTGCGAATAGTACCAGCAGCCCCT